GCTTGGGGGAATGGGGCTGAAGGCCCATGGCAGGGCCAGAGTCGGAGGGGGGTGTTAGTTTGGTTTTGAGGCAGCCTGGAAGGGCCTAGGCGGTTTTGGGGGGCCTGAAGGCCCATGGCAGCGCCTGGGCAGTTATGGGGGGCTGTAGGCTGATGGCAAGGTCTGGGTGGTCATTGGGGGGGCTGTACGCTGATGCCAAGGTGTGGATGATCATTGGGGGGCTGTAGGCCAATGGCAGGGCCTGGGTGGTTATTGGGGGGCTGATGGCAGGGCCTGGGCAGTAATGGGGGGCTGAAGGCCCATGGTAGGACCTGGGTGGTTATTGGGGTGCTGCAGGCCGATGGCAGTGCTGGGGCAGTTAAGGGGGGCTGTGGCTGTCAGGCCTGTGCCAGAATTGGGGTGACCTACTGCAACTGGGGTTAATTGGTGACTGCGAGCTGACAGTGGGGCTGGGTGGGTTGGGGAGGGCCGTGGGGGTAGGTGGGGTCTGGGGGAGAGGCAGCCGCAAGCTGGTAGCAAGGCCAGGGGGGTTATGGGGGGCTGGCAGCGGGGCCAGGCTGGATGTCGGCTGCAGTTTGAGGCAGCTCTGGGGTGCGTTGGCCATGGCAGCCATGGAGTACCCCAGTTCCCAGCACTCCCTCCCCCTGTGCCCAGGCAGCACCCGTTTGGGGTCTGGGCTTCTCAGTCTCGGGAGGAAAAAAAGTAACCACACACACAACATCACCAGCAGCCATTGCCCATGGTCTTTATTTTTTTTTTCCGGAAAAGAAAAAAAACCCACATTTTACATAGTTGGTACAAAAAATTATTAAAAAAAAAAAAAGAAAGGAGGGGGAAAAACCTGCAGCAACAGGAACTGGGGATCTCGCTGCAGGGGCTCCAGCAGGAAATTTCTTTGGAAAGCGCAGCTCAGGGTAACCCCTGAGCCACACACAGTCACCCCGATTATTCCCTCCCTCCCACCCACTTCATAAAAATTCAAGAGTTTGACACAAACAAGCTTTGGTTGCTAGCAGTAAACATGGATTACATTCTTCCGTCTCCTCGTAGACAATCTTGTGACTCAAGGCTTTCGCACCAGGGCAGAGCCCGTCTCGTGAGGGACACCTTTTCCTCATACATTCAAACGCTCCCGTGTTAGAGCAGGACCCTGAGTGTGCGGCCTCATCCGCCCGCGATTCACTGTCCCCTAATGCATAGTGCCCAGCGCCTGCGAGCCGAGCCTGGGCAGGGTGGGTGATGATGCAGCAATTTAGTTAATTATTCTCAAGATACGGGAAGAACCACAATGGCAAATGCAACGAGAAGATGCGAATCAATCCCATCTTCTCCAACGTGGCTTCCATTTACAGATAAAAATCCCTGTTTTCTTGGATCCCGGTACCGCGCTGGTCCCGGGGGAAACCTGAGTGATTCTCTAAGCCATTTGCTATTTGCTTTAGCCTAGGACAGGGATGGTTGCAGAGCTCATATCCCCACACAGAGTTACAAGGCAGAGTATACAGAGAAGATCCTGTCTCCCTGGTCCATAACCTATTAGATGCTTTGGTTATTTTTTTTTTTCCTTTTTTTTTTTTTCTCTTACTTTTGTAAACAATAATCAAGGAGAATACTGAGAAAAAAATGGAAAGATTTACAGAGGTATTTACACACACTAGACATCTAGCAGAAAAAAATCACCAAACCATTAAACTGGGGGTGAGGGGGGAAAGGTCCTACATGATTCTTCAAGACAGATACAAGAATTAGGGGGGCAGCAGTTTCCCCAGCACAAACGAGGTGCCAGGGGAAGGCCAATAGCCCCCCCGCAACGCGGCAGCGGGACCGAGGCCCAGGCTTAGATGCGCAGCCCAGTGCGCTCTATTGCATTTACCCCGTTCAGACAAAAGCCGTTTTCCTGAAGTAGTTTTGTATAGATCCCATTCTAGTCAAGAACTAAAATGTCCTTCCCCCCACCCTCCCAAGAAGAGACCACCACCTCACCATAAAATCTACTGGAGCAGGGCAGGCGAGCAGCTGGGGAGCAGCTCTTCATCCTCCCCACCATACCTGTGTGCCGCAGGGCACAGCAAAACCTCCAAGGGGTCACTGGGCTCCAGAAGCCTCAGCAAATCCTCCTCGGTGATGCCTGTTGACAAGGATGGAGTAGGTGCTCCCCGTCTGTTCCAGCTCTGCTCTACATCTAAACCTATCGCTACCTAAAAACCAGCAGAAACCGTGCCCACCTCCTGACACGCCAGCATGGCGAGACGCCCTCCCTGGGAAGGCTCCAGCCAGCCCCCGGGATGCAAAGTGGAGTGTTAATGCCCCGAAACCAGGGATCCAGGGATTCCCTCCAAACCAGGAATCCAGAGTTTGCCCCAGCCATCATGAACCAGCATTTGGGGGAAGCCAGGAAGGAAGGAGAAAGATGGAGCAGTTGCACCTCCCTTGGACTTGGGTCCACCATGGCACCAGGTCCCTCATCCGAGGAGGTCACGGGCAGGCAGCCAGCCCTTTGCTCAAGGGCGAGTTAGGGCAGGGGATTGAGGATAACCTTTGGTCTCCCAACAACCTCCTTGGTCGCTGTCAGCTCTTGCCACGTCCCCCCTGAATGAACTGGGACCTCCATCCTGGCTTCCTGACCCCCAGCCACACGGCACCAGCCTGCTGGGAGCCTGTGCGACATCCCAGCCCGCAGGCAATGGGAGGACTGGGGCATGGGGCGGACTGGAGCGTTCCCATCGGGACGGTGGGGAGGGGACGTGTAAGCGTAAACAGGAGAGAGAAATGGAGGACAGTCCTCGAAAGCCACCAGGCTGGGAGAAAATCTGGAGTTGGGGAGCCGACACGGGCTCTAGCAGCTGTTCCCTGCCCCGTGGCACTGCCTGGCTTCTCAATCCCTGCACACGGACCCAAATTCCTCCTCAGTCCATGGGGAAGGGAAAGAGACTCTATTAAAATACAGTTAAAAAGAAAACAAATTCCAAACATACCAAAAAACACAACTGAAAAGCTCGACAACACGTCAGTCCACCTAGCGAACATCCAGTGAGGTAGATCTACACTTCCAATGCAAACTTCATCACGTCTTTGTGCTGTTAGAAAAAACCCTCCTCTCTGTCCAGCACTGGGCTCCAGAGGCATTTTATCCCTGAGATTGCTCGAATACCTGAGAATAAGTTGCAGGAATTATGTCCTTTCTCTCTCTTTTTTTTTTTTTCCTTTTCTTAAAGATTAAAATATACAAAAATACAAAACCAGAATATTTATATAAAAAAATAAAACAAAACCAAAAAAAAAAAAAAAAACCAAAGACGACAAACAAACCCAAAGATACGTCATTCACGCACGTCCTAGTGCAGGTTTCACTTGGCGTTGGCTTCGGCACAGCCGGGGGGGCTGCCCCGGGAGAAGGGCTGTCCACCGGGGCCAATAAATAAAGGCAAGACTTGGGGGGGCTGGTGAGGAGGGAGGACAGCAGCCACTAACGACCTGGGGAACCCTTTTCCTCTGCCCCTGGGGAAGCTCAGCCCAGGAGCCATCGGTTTCTGGAGCGTGGGATGGGCAGGAGGAGCAGAGGCACGTTTTTGTCCTGCATGGGTTTGGTCCAGAGCCCGTGGGAAGACCCAGGCAGTTTGGTGTCTGGATCAAGCCACGGCTGGATCTGTGTGAGCCCCGGGTGGGTTGTGTACATGGGCTCCGAGGGAAATGCTGCCAGCAACATCCCTGGGAGCCGGCTCTGCCCCATGTCTGGTGCCCAAGGCTTAACAAAGAGCATTTCTGCTCCATGAAGCCTTCCTGCTCCCTGGCTCCTCATTTTGGATGCAGGGAAAAGCCTTAGAGGGGAAGAGCTGGCTGAATAATACACCTTGTGCTCTCTGGGCTGGCACTTGGGATGGCTTAGGAGGAAAAAAAAAAAAAAGAAAGTGTTTCTTTTGACCTGATCTCCCCCAAGCCCATAAGGAGGCGGCAAGTGTTAGCCCAGCCCCAAGAGATGCCCCATTTCCTTCCAAACTAAGCCCAAATCTGGGCTCTGCTGGTTTCAGCAATGGGGCAACCACAGAAAAACTGCAAATCTTTGCACCCACCAGCACATGTAAAGCCATGAGGAGCAGAGGGACCCACGGGGCCAGCCCACGGGCATCTCCCCAGCGCTCTGCAGCCAGCCTTCCCCCCTCGGCCTCCCTCCCTGGGGCACAGAGGGTCGGGACGGGCGTAGGAGCGGGTCCCCCACAGCTCATCCAAGCCTGTTTGAAGCTGAGGAGAACAAGGAGCCGTGAGCTCCTCCCTGAGCTACTCTGCTCCTCCTCCCAGAGATACTACTGCCTGGTTTTGTTTAGTAAAAGAATAAAGATGAATCAAATATGGTTTGGGTTGGTTGGTTGTTTTTTTTTTTAGATGGAAGAGGTGCGTGAGGTGCTGCCTTCCCCTATTTTTGTAATGAGCCATCCTGATTAAAGTAGAGCTTTTCCCAGGCTGGGAACAGGGGGAAAAGGTCTGTGCAAGGACACCAGGTCCCCACCGTTAGCACTGCTGTCTTCCCTCCCCAGTCCTTCACCCTGCCCTCCCTCCTCCGAGCCCCCGCGGCTGCCCATTGCCTTGCCAAAGCCTTTTCATCCCGGTGGAAGCCCCCCCCTCCCCGTCACCCACCATCATTCCCGGGTTTCGGGGAGGAGGGCCGAGCTGTGCATATCCTCCTCCTCTCGGAAGTAGGCAGGTTTTCCCTGGGAGCTGGGGGACTGCTGTGCTTTCGCGGGGCAGTTGGCAACCATGTGGCTGATGCTCTGGCAGAAGTGGCATTTCTTGGGCTGCGGTGGGAGCTTGCACTCTTTGGCGTGGTGGTCCAGCCGGGGGGGGGGGGGGGGGGGGGGAGGAGAGAGATTCGAGGAGGAGAAATAAAATGAGGTGGGATGCTGCCGTGGCTGTCTCTGGGACCCGTCTGGCTAAAATGGCCCAGCTGCTGAGGGATGCGGGGTCGGCTCCTTGGGTGGGTGGTGGCCCTGGGTTTGGTCCCTGCGGAGCCCAGCACGGCCAGTTTGGGCCTGGCTCAGTGGTGCTGCTGGTACCCAGGAGATGGCAGCAAACCCCCGCACCGAAGCCCAGCACTCCGGGACAAAAACCGGGGATGTTGGGGGGCTTCCACCCCTCTGGCTCCATCATGGTTCTGGCTCCTGTGTCTACAGACCCTGCACCCAGGGTCTGCTGTGGACCAAAAGCCTGTGGCAGAGCAGGAACAGGCAATCGGACGACTGACAGCTCCAGCCTGGGGAACTGCTGCAGGGACAGTGGCCATCGGTGTGGGGACAACCCCAAAGGTGGCTTCTCTCACGGCTGTACCCTTGCAGGGCTTGTCCCCCAGTGCCACCTTCACACCAGAGTGAGGCGGGCAGAGGCAGCTGCCTTGTGTCCATTTTAAATCCTGCATCTGTCTAGGATGGCCACAACCCTTTGCTCTTTCCCAATTCCTTTCCAACTAATTCTGAAACCCACTTGTGAGAACACACAAGCGTTGTGGGGTGGGCAGCATCCGTGGGGAAACCTGGGATGAGGCATCCCGGGGCATCTGGGATGGAGAGGATGGGAGAAATGAGGGGGGACGAAGGGCAGAAACTTGCCTCGGGGCTCCCAGCCTCACCGTGGGAGATGCTGCCAGGACGTCCGGCCATTTCCTTCCCACAAGGAAGGGTTTCTCTTCGAGAAAATTACCCCTGCCCAGCGCGGCTCCCTGAGATGAGGGGAGCGGCCGCCCGGGGTGTCCCTGACCTCTGCCCTTTCGCTGCTGGTTTGCTGCCCTTTCCCTACCAAGCTGCATCTGCCACTCATTAACCGCCGAAGGAAGCCGCTTTCCCAGAGGAAGGGTCGCTGCCCACCCCGCCGGATCCCAGCCCATCCCCATGCCGTGGGCAGGGTCCTGGGCAGCTCCTGGTGCCCGCAGAGCTCGGCCCCTGCCCCAAATCAGTCCCTGGCCACCCCTTACCGGTCTCCTTTCGATCTGCGTTTCTGGAGGCTCTTGCCTTTGGGTCTCCTCTCGCTGCCAATGCAGAAGACGCCCCCCGGGCCAGTCACCCGGATGGACTCCAAACCTTTGGATGATTTCTTGAAGGTGAACTCGACAGCTTCTCCCTCCTTCAGGCTGCGGAATCCCTCCATGTGGAGCTTGCTCTTGGGGGGCACAGGGAAAGAACGGCGATCAGCAGGGAGCTGGGGGGTCTGCTGGGCACACAACAAGCCCCAGCCCAGCAAACACCTCCTGTAGCACGAGAGTTGCCACTATCCCCCTGTGCCTGCCCCTTGTGAGGAGACAGATATCAGGGACCAAGCTCGACCAGGCACCTTCATCTCTCTATAAAATCTCTAGAGTCCCATTTGATAACTCAGAGCCTTCAGTGAGCTGAAGCACCCGGCCGGGTGGGGCTCACTGGTTTGGCAAGCAAGGGTTGGCAGAGCCAGCTCTGATCCAAATTTCAACAGTATTTGCTGCAAAATGCTGACTCTCAGCACTGCAAAACAGCCCCTTTCTCCCATTGTAACCCTGGACTGGGGAGCAAGAGCTGCTCCTGCACCTCCCAATGATACCTGGGGCTGGGGATGCTCATGGGGAGATCCAAAAATGTCATTTTAAAAAGACAAAAGGATCTTGAGGTTTTGCACAGGCACGTGTAATCCCGCTCGCTTCCCCGCGGACCAGCGGGACCCGCGGGACATGGGCTGAACTCCCTGCACACCCTGCAAGTCCAGGAGGCTGGGAGCTGGCACTGCCAGCCCAGGGTCCCAGGGTTCCCTTACTTCAAGCCTTTTAATTGCCTCCAATAATTAATTAAGCAACCATTTGGCCCTGAATTGTCACTGCTGAGAGCACCTCCTGTCCCACCCAGGATCACCACATCGGCCATCACCGTGCAATCAAACTCGGGAGCTCAGAAAGACCCAGGCTGGGGAGGGGGGTTGTGAGATGATAGAAAAATCTGCACTGCTTTCATGAGCTCTCTCCATTTTAGCAGAACAAATTCATAAGAGGCCGAGCTGGGCGATGCAGCCGATGTCTCTTGTCCCCTCTGTGCCAGCACATGCTGCCACGAGCATCACTGCCAGAGGACCGACTGCTGCATCCCGGGCAGCGATTCGAGCAGGGATTTCGCTCAACTTCGTTAGCGGAGCCCAAACGAGCGCCAGCAAAGAGTTAAGGGGGATTTGCTGGCAGAGGGAGGAGCAGCTCCAGCAGGGCTGGGGATTCCCGGCAGAGCCAGCTCTGGCTGCAAGCAGGACCCTGCATTTATGAATGGAGCATCTCCCCCATTCACGGCCTGGCAGTTCCCATCACGTGGGGCCGAGGCCGTCCATTCTTCCCGCACCGAGCTTCCCCCGCACGCTGCCCGGGGACGGGCAGGCATGGCCGGTGCTCCTTTTCCACCCCAAATCTCACCAGGACCCCTATGGAAACACCCCACATAAAAGCAAAGGAGGAGGAAATGGAGTTGTTGGGTTTTAGGAGTGAACTTTTTTCGGTGGGGTCTTGCAGAACATGCCTGTGTCAGGGGGCACGTGAGGGAAGTGGGAACTCAGCAGAGCTCGAGGAACAACCCTTGAGGTCCCTTTTACTGCTGTTTTTCCCCCTGCTTCTGTGTCTGGGGGCTCGGCTCTGGGTGGGACAGGCCCCGTGGGCTGGGCTAACTCACCCACATCCACCCTTGCCTGCTGGGTCCAGGGTGGGCTGGATGGGTTTGTCACAAACCCGTGCTCTCTGACCTGCTCCTGCTCCCCAAAAAGAGCCAAACCATCAGCTACGGGGTGTCCAATGACAACAAGGACATGCCAAGGTCTCACAGCAACCTCTGCCCATCCGGGGCTGGTCTGGGTGGGGGCAAACACTGCCACGCTCAGCACAACGGCCAGACACCACCTCTCCCACTCCGCTTGGCTTTCCCCTGATGCTGAGTGTCACCAGGAGGATGCTGAGCACCGCCCAGGCAGGAGCTCTGTGTCCAAAGCATCTGCCAGCACAACGCAGGAGGTGCCTGGCTCAGCCCTGGCACCTCGGGGTCAGCCACCAAACCTGCCCCGTCCCCAGCATGCCGCCCCGCCGCCCTGCGTGAGGCAGTTTGGGTGATGGGGGCTGCCACGGGTGGTGAATTTGCCCCCGTTTTGGGGCTGCGTTTTGGGGGTGAGGAGGAGCTGAGCATCACTCCGTGGCACAGGAGGCAGCTCCAGAGACGGGGTGGGGGCTGAGAGCCAGAGATCCTTATCGAGGGGGGGGGGGG